ATATATATATATATAGTACTTTTTGTAATAAATTTAAATAGAAAGTGTTACTTAAATATCTAAACAATTTATAAATTCAAATGTTTAAACTAATTGATAAACAATTTATAAATCTCTATTTTATTTAAATATGTAATTTTATTTAAAATAATTTTTCATGTAACAAAATTTGTTTAGAAAATCGTATCGATCTTACCAGTCCAACTGGTGTTGGCGGATTCGATAGCAAATATTTTATTCAAGCGCACTAAATCGGTTATAAACTGGTTCTCGGTCCATCCGGTCGAACTGTGTCCAACCCAGTTTAATTTATAAATAATGGATAAATCATGATTAATGTTATTTATTTATTTAATTTATAATACAATCAAAATATTATTTTTTCGTGCATCGCACGGGCCACGTACTAGTTATAGTATCATTCAATAAACCCGGTATCTTTACACCAGTTATTAATAATTAATTAATCCCTCTCCGCATTCCCACTGTGCAAACAAATCCTCAAAACTCCCACACGCACACGCACAGTGTTCCCCTCAAATTCTTGTCCGTTGCCGTCGGCGCACAGTCTATCAGCAATTCCACCGTTATGTGGATTTGCTTTTGTTAGAAAATTTTGAAATCTTTATTCGGCTTTATTTCTCTTTTGATGTGTTCATGTTAATTCAGATCCGTTGATATCTTCAAATGCAACTCAGATCCCTAATTTCCTTCTCTCGACATCGACCCTTTTCGAATCCTTATTGATCTGATCGTGCAATTTATTTATAGAGTATAAAAATCTGGGCAGACCCATAACTTGTTGATTTTCTGGTGTGGACGATCAATATTGATTCGAAAGATGTCTGCGATGAAATCGTCGGGCCGGTTCTTCACGATCGGGCTGGTGACGGCGTGGTATTCATCCAACATTGGGGTTTTGCTGCTCAACAAGTATCTGTTGAGCAATTACGGGTTCAAGTACCCGATTTTCTTGACCATGTGCCACATGACGGCTTGCTCGCTGCTGAGCTACGTTGCTATTGCGTGGATGAAGATGGTGCCGATGCAGACCATAAGATCCAGGGTTCAGTTTATGAAGATCTCGGCTCTCAGCTTGATTTTCTGCACCTCTGTTGTTAGCGGCAATATTTCTCTCAAGTACTTGCCGGTTAGCTTCAATCAGGCGATTGGCGCCACCACACCTTTCTTCACGGCTGTTTTTGCCTACATGATGACTTTGAAAAGGGAAGCTTGGTTGACATACCTGACTTTGGTTCCCGTGGTTACTGGGGTCATCATCGCTAGTGGGGTACGTTTGTAGTCCTCGTGTTAGTTATCTGAGGACTAGCTGTGATTTTTTATTTTTTCTTTTCTTTCACGTTCTCCTTTTGCTTTGATCTTGCTTATATGTTTGTAATGTTCAAATTGGTGTCTTTGGAATTGCATGGGTGCGATCTATCAGAATATGGGTTTGCAGGTTTTATGTATGTGTCAGGACTCAGGAGATAGGTTCTTATCTATATATAATATTGTAGTGCTTCTATAGATCATGTTTTTTTTCCAGCTTAAATTGACCAACACTAGGCTAAATGTGTTGTTTGATTCTCTGCTTGTGACTGTCAGGGTGAACCGAGTTTTCATCTGTTTGGATTTATAATGTGTGTTGGTGCAACAGCTGCAAGGGCACTCAAATCAGTGGTTCAGGGGATTTTGCTTTCTTCCGAAGGGTATGAGTGTTGTGTGACATATTATTGCACTCACCATTTTCTAATGAGAACTAGAATGAGTTCCATTTGTTTCTAATAGATAGCCCAGTATGACTTCTGAAACTTTTTTTTTTTTTTTTTTTTTTTTTANTATATTTTAGTGAAAAGCTGAATTCAATGAACCTGCTCCTGTACATGGCTCCTATAGCTGTTGTATTACTACTTCCTGCAACTATTTACATGGAGGAAAATGTTCTTGGTATAACATTGGCATTAGCAAGAGAAGATAGCAGAATTATTTGGTTGCTGCTGTTCAATTCTGCACTTGCATATTTTGTGAACTTGACCAACTTTTTGGTCACAAAGCACACCAGTGCTCTAACGCTGCAGGTATTATTTGCTTCTTTTCTGTCCTAATACTTTTTTTGTTATAATTCTTTTCTTTTACTCTTTCCCCTCCCTAGTTTCTGATTTCTATCGGTTGATTTGATTCTAAGTTTGTATAATTTTGTAGTATATGATCATGTGATACATGAGCATTAGTTTTGCCGCACGTGTATGAAGAGTAGTGCGATCTAGAAGCTTATGATCATATGTTATATACTTAGAAGCTTATGATCATATGTTACATGAACATCAATTTAATGGAAAATGTATTGAGAATAGTGTGATCTAATAAGCTTTCTGCCCATGGTTAGGTGTGAATATTTGTTAAGGCATTAGCATTTTATTTGGTGAATACTATTTGTTGTATGTTGTTATCTTCTGTGAGAGCTTTAGCAGCTCACAGCACATGCAGCTTTGTTTATGTGACTGGTAGTATCTTATGAAGCATTTGTGTGAGTACACAAGTGCCACACGTTATGAAATTTTAGAGTATATGTTAGACATATAGGCAAATAAAATATATATTTCTATGTTACTGAAAATTAAAGTAAGTGCACATGTAAATTAAATGCATGAACTTTTCAACCATAAACTACTATAATTCCATAAATACTCTAAGCCCGAATGTGAAATGTTGAAAAAACATGGAAAACGTGCTGAAAAATATATGTAACAAAAGATCTTTGATTTGAACCCATTAAAGCTTGTACTACTTCTACTTTATACAATCTACCATCTTATTTAATTCTCAATTCTCTTGTACCTAACTTTGAACTTTTCATAAGTGGAGCCCCATTATTTCCTTTTAAATTGGGTACTTTATGAGTACATAGTACATACATACACGTGTGCGACGGAGTTCATATCAGAAATAGTTTCCATATGAAAGCTAGTTCGAGGACCTGGTCATAATGTCCTAATGCTAAATAATAGATATTTTAGTTATTTTCTTTCCCATAGACTCATTTTTTTCTAATGTCCCGTCAATGTCTTGATTGCTACCTGTTCTTTCAGGTGCTTGGAAATGCAAAAGGAGCAGTAGCAGTAGTTATCTCCATATTGATTTTCAAGAATCCCGTATCAGTTACTGGAATGCTTGGGTATACACTAACCGTATTTGGTGTAGTCCTCTATAGTGAAGCCAAAAAACGTAGTAAATGAAAATTTGGAAAAAAACATCATTTGTGCAATATTCATCTACTTCAGACTGAAGAAAATGTGCAGCTCAATTTAATGAATTTTGGCGCTTAGTTAGTTTTGAGCAGAAAACCGACAAGTCTCTCCAACATGTACCAGCAGAAGAAACCTGATGAGCAGAGTAGCAGTTTAAGTAAGGGTTCAAATGACTTTAGTTCTTCCCAGTTTGGGGGTTCTCAAAGAAAAGTCCCTTTTACGTAACTTACATATTCTTTTCTTTCTTGCAAGGATTTTAATCAGTCTGCATAACTGTGATTAGTGTTTTATGTCATTACCCATACACAGACAAAATTTATCAATTGTTACATTCCTTTGTTAGCGTTCAGTTGAGGTGCAGTCTATTTTTATTCATTTTTATTTATTTATGGACGTCGAGTCACGGTGTCAGACACCTTGTGTTCCATTATCTAATAACATAAAACTATCAAAAGCGTGATTATTATAAGAAAAGCATTCAACAAGTTAAAAAAAAAAAGATTAAACTATAGTATCATCAAAATTGAAAGGCTATGTTGTTGTTGCGGACTAAAAGACTATATTGTTGTTGTTGTTATCATCAAAATTGAAGGTTATGAGACAAATGTCAATCTTTAAAAAATAAAAATGTGAGGGTATCATCAAAAGCAAAATAGACAAAAAAAAAAGAAAAGAAAAAAAAAAAGAAAAACTGATTCATTTATAATCTATATTAGGTATTTAATAAATTATCTCACTTCCTTTTAATTAGAGAGTTTTTTTCAGCTATTTTACATTAATATATTATTTCATTCTCTTTATATTAAGACCTCATTATAATATTTTATTTTAATTTACTATAGCCGAGTGTTTTAACCGTTGGATCACATGTAGTTTGTATAAAATTGATAATTCAACAGTTTAAACACTTGACGAGATGATACCGTAACGGAACCGTAGTCTTTCCCAAAAAATTAATTGGCAACAAAATTTATAACTACCTTTACTAGTTACTAACAAATACAAAAAATAAAATAAAATAATAATAAAATAAAAATAAAGAAATAAATGGACATTGAGCCTGTTCTAACTACTAAGGACTTAAGCTCACAAGACAGATTCATATGTGCTGGATTTTTGAATTGATCACCAGACTATATATGACACAAGAAATGAAGATCACACTGAACATGATCTCAGACATTCTTTTACTTCTTAAAATGAGCAAGCATAACATACTGAGACCTACTTTACATCATCAAAACAAAGCCTTGTCCGCAAAACATTAAAGACAAAACCATCCTAGCAAAAGATTTCACCAAAATTACTCATCCATCACAACTTCATCTTTGCCACAAGCTTCTGCCTCACCATTGCCTTCCGGCTCGAGTTTGGCATCCATGGAAACATCTTCTCCATCATTAGTTTCTATTTTGGGCTTTATTACCTCAACACATTCAGCCTCATCATCAACCATTATAGGTATAGGCTCAACTTCCGACATGATCTCCACTTTAGACTGCTCGGTTTCCATTTTCGGCTTCTTCAGCTCTGCTTTAGGCTCAGACGTTCGAATCTGAACCCCACCATTCATTTCTTCATCTTCTTCCTCTATCTTAGGCGCTAGATAGAATCTAAGGTAACCGACTTCCGAAATCTTGTACTCGACCACAATCGGCAGCTCTAAAGACAAGCTTATGGTCACTTGACTCGAAACTGGGGCTGCTTTGGCAAATGCGTTCATGTACCTAAGCGCGAAAGTCTGTGTAACGGGCTTTTCCATTTCTATCACGGTGGCATCTTCTGGCTGAAAGTGCAAAAGCACATGTTTGGTTATTATACTGACAAAAGAAAAAAACAAATGTGTTAACAGAAAATAACACTAACGTTGTCTACTGTAGTGTTCTGTCGGCAGACAATGTTAGCTGTACCGATGTCGCCTCTGGTGGAGAATTTCACGCCTTCTTTCGTTACGGATATTACAACTGTTAATCAATAATGCCTCAATTTTCAATTTGGTGATATTACAAATTAGAAAGAAAGAAGAAAAGGAGCCTCAAATGAGTACCTGTATCACCAATGGAGCTGAAATCTCTGCAAATCCTAGAGTACTCGGCAGATGGCATTCTCACAATGGCTTCATACTCAGTATCGGGTATCCCGAGATGCTCACTGTCGATGTCCATGAGCTTCATCTCGAAATCAGAAATCTTGTCTTGTGCTGCACAGGAGTAATAAGATGTGAAACACAGAAAATCGTGCCTAACAGTCTTTAAGTGTTTTTAGTAGCTTTAAAACCAAATAGTATTCAAGCAATAAGGCCTACAGTATTTGGTGTATCTTGGGAACACATTACTTAAGCTGAATGATAAGCCTCCAAATATTGAATTGCCTAGCTTAGTTACTGACTTACTTCATAACTGGCTGTGGAAGTAACTGCTTTTTCAACTGAAAAATTACAGCAAATGAGTAGCCATACAGATACTTGTTGAAATTTCCTAAAATGCACTAGATAGTTGAGGACCCACTACCTCATATAAGCAAAATTCAGAGTGAGGCTCATGTAAGCACATTCAAAAGTCCCAACTTCTTAACCAATCATACCCATTTACATCACTGAAAACGGGCCAAGAATTAATTGAACAAATGACCACATTCAATAATGACAGATAAAAAATAAATAAATAAATAAAAAACGACACGTTCCAACAAAAAAAGGAACAAGCTTTACGCATCCCAACACGCCAACAAGCACATATGGTGAAAACACAACCAGACAAAGGCCATAGCAGAAAAAAATAAACTCCATATAAAGAGAAGTACAAAAGAAGGGGAAATGATGCATACAAGGGTTCTCAAACATGAAGGTGACGGTGTCAGTGCCGTCATCGGCCTTCATGGTGATGATATCATCACCGGCGGCGCATCTGAGCATCTTGGCCATGTTGGCGAGGTTCATGCCCATGGTGAGGCTTCTGTCGCAGCGGTAGTGGTCAAAGGCCTCGGCGCGGAGGAGGAAGGAGACGAGGGCCACGTGGCTGGAGTCCATCGCCTGGAGAGAAAAGCCGGTCGGGGAGCAGTCGAAGTTAGCGTCATTGACAAGATCCTTGACAGATTCCAGTATTTTCTTGAGCAGACCACCCTCAATAAGCCTCAGTTCAAACATTTCTCTGTCTTT